TTACAAATAATGTCGCTATGAACATAGTTAAGCAAATGTCCTTGTGGTGTGAATGTGAGTTAGGTGGGCTTTAAATGTGTGCTAAAGGGTGGTGGGCCACATTTTACCTGGGATCTCTAGTACCAGCCTGGCCTCCAGCAAAGCCAAAGTCTTTTTCTGAAGTTGTAGGCTAGGATATGGAACCCAGGGAAGGTGCTGCAGCCTGGGAGGTAATTGTAATTCTAATCACATTTTCCTACAATCTCAGAGTAACCATATGTTCTAAAGGAAAGCCAATCGCTAAGGTTGTTATAAGCCAGATATAATATCACAAGAGTGGTGGTTTATATTTCCTAACCACCACTAACCTTCCAAAAACTAAAAGAAATGACAGAAGCAGTTGACTGCCTGGACAGTTACCCAAGTTTCATCTGCAACATTGGGGTTGCAACATTCACAGTTGAAGCATTGTGATGTCTCTATTCTCTCATGTCACTTAGTTTCAATACTTTACACAATCTGACTGTTGGCAATTGTTTGAGATTATGCAGCTCACTTTTTGTTTGTTTTTTGAGACAAGGTTTCTCTGTGTAGACCCAATTGTCATGGAACACACTCTGTAGACCAGGCTGGTCTTGAACTCACAGAGATCCTCCTGCCTTTGCCCCCCCAAGCCTGGGATTAAATGCATGTGCCACCACTGCCTGGTTGCATCTCACGTTTTTTACTTGATCCTTTATCAACATATCAAATCACTTCATGCATTGTTGAGCTCACAATGTAGAAAAAGGGGGGGGGGGGCCGGGGATGGCATCGTTAGCCTGATAGCTGCACTGTAAGAGGAAGAGGATAACGGTAGGGTAGACAGCCAGCAGAGGGAGGAAGACCAGAAAATAGCAATAAATCTCAGTATTCCTGAGAGGCAGCCTTTCTCAATTCACAGTTGAAGCATTGTGATGTCTCATGACATCCAGCAGGTGGCAGTGCTGCATAACATCTCAATGTTAAAATGATTTCCTATGCTTTTGAAGTTCCTTAAAGAAAAAATGGATTCCTTTTTGCAGTTGAGAGGTGAATGCTGAAGTAAGCCTTATGCCTTAAAGAGTCCTCCTTTAAACCCAGAGAATCAACATGCAGCTCCCAAATCTCAACAAAGTTCTCAGACACATTTGTGGACCCTTTTTCTGGAATATTTGTCATGTGCCTCTTGGTTCCACTGTAACCTTAAGTTGTCACACAAAGTAACTGTCCCACATGGTTTTTCCCACACCCATCGTCTTCTGCAAGAAAAGGAGCCCCAGAGTGTGCCACCCTTAGTCTCAGGCTAGCTTTAGAAACTCCTTTTTATGAATTAGTTTATTTTGTCAACTAGACAGCTTGATAGCACGGAGTGGGCAGTGTGTGTGTGTGTGTGTGTGTGTGTGCGTGCGTGCGTGCGTGCGTGCGTGTGTGTGTGTGTGTGTGTGTGTGTGTGTGTGTGTGTGTAATACCCCCACTATACACACTATCTAATTTTTAGGAAGGCCCTGTGAGTTGGGGGCCAACTGTAGACTGAGCGAAGGTGCCTTTTGAGAACCTGTGGCCTTGGCCCAACCCTACTGTAGAAGATTCCCATAAAAGCACCTTGAGAGGTGCCTCTAGATGGAAGCCTGTCACTGTGTGCCGGGGAGTACAGCCCTGCTCCTTCGCCGTCGCCATGCTCTGAGGGCTGCTGCCTCCCTGAAGCGTCTCCTCATTTGTGCAGTTATTTAGTTGAGAAAGTGTGGCAAACCTCGTGTCATTTTCACATTCAGGCCTCAGTCACATTTCAGTTATTGATATCTTCTTACTGACTCCTTCCCTTACCACATTTATCGCCTTCTCTAAGCCTGCCTTACACTCTATAGGGCTTCCTTCTGTTGGTGTTCCATGTAGACGCCCAAGTTAGGAATGCCTAGCAATATGAACTTTGAAGGAACCTGCACGCCAACCTTGCAGTCAGCACTCCCTTTGTGTCCCAGGTCTCTTTAGCATTATTGTTCTTCTTTTTTCATTTGTTCTTATTCATTATTCATCCACCAAGTACTTTTCGATGACACAATTTCTTCATTTTTATTATGTATCCATGAACATATTACTTAAAGTATTATAATTAATACTTAAGATTGGTTAACAATAATACCAGGGCTAGAATGTTCTAGCCTCTTAGATCATTGATACTATGTTAAAGACTTCCAAATGAATTATGTCACCAAGTAGTTTTGATACTCAGGATTACAGGCTCTGGACCCAACGGCTAACAAGTCAGCATACATCCTATTCTTTGGAAAGTTTGTGGGGCTGGGAGGTGGGGTGGTTTGAATGGAAATGGTCCCCATAGACTAACAAGGAAGAGCATTATTGGAGGTGTGGCCTCGCTGGAGTAGGTATGGCCATGTTGGAAGAACTGTGTCACTAGGGGTGAGCTTTGTGGTTTCAAAAGCTCAAGCCAGACCCAGTGTCACTCTCTCTTCCTGCTTCCTACCAATCCAGATGCTCTGGGGGAACTCTGGGCTCCTTCTCCAGTGCCATGTCTGTCAGGGTGCTGCCACGCTTTTTGCCATGAACATAATGAACGTAACCTCTGAACCTGTGAGCCAGCCCCATTTAAATGTTTCCTTAAAAGAATTGCCATGGTCATGATATGTCTTCGCAGCAACTGAAGACTGATTAAGATTGGGCCAGGGGGTAGGTGGGGTGGTTAATCTGGAAATAAATACATAGATAAGTGTGTAATTATAATAATTAAGATGTGGTTTTTGAAGGAAAAGAATCAGGTGCTATAGGAAAAAAATATGTCCCTGTGAATTCAATACTAGCCTGGTCTACATAGTGAGATCCAGAGCAGCCAGAGCTCCATAGTGAGACTATGTCTCAAAAGAAATCACTGTAAGTGGGCTTAAAGATCCAGAGGGTTAGCATTTGTGACGTTGGAGTGAAGGCACAGAGATAGGTGTCTGGAGCAGCAGCGGAGAGCTCATATCTTGGTCTACAAACAGGAAACAACAGAGAGAAGGCGCACTGTGCATGGTGTCAGTCTTTTCAAACTTCAAAGCCTGCTCTGTTGGGGAAGTCTTATGCTAATAAAGCACTGTGTGGCCAATAGGAATCTAGATAGGTGGGGCTAGGAATCCAGGAGGATTCTGGGTAGGAGAAACACAAGAGAGTTTGACATGTGACGCCATGGGGGTAGGAAGCCGGGAACTATTCTCCGGTAAGAAACATACTTAGATTAACAATTATGGGGTAATTACTTAAGGCAGAGCTAGCCAGTAAGAGACAAGCAAGGCCAACAGCTTCATAATTAATATAGCCTCCTGTGTGTTTATTTGGGACTGATGCCGCTCTGGAACTAGGCGGGCGGGAAGGCTTCTCTCAAGGAAAGCTTCTCTTAACACTGCTCTCAGTGACACACCTCCTACATCAAGGCCACACCTCCTGGGGACCAAGAGTTTACATACATGATCCTATGGGGGCCATTATCATTTAAACTACTACATGGGGTATGCGGTGAGGCTGGTGCTTAGAGGTACTAACAGGAGCAGTGAGGAGTGTCTCCTGGAACCTCCTCTGGGTACCACACAGAAGTGGCCTCTCACTCCCTTGCCCTCACGTTCAGACACTTTCCATGACCCAAGCTTAGATCCTGCCCTGACCTTAGTAACAACATCTCCAGGACCAAGAACAGCTCTTTCTTTCCTATAACCACAGTATCTTAAGTACTGACTAGCAGTAATGGGAGAGACAGATATTTTTATTTATTTGATATTACCCAAGGCCCCAAGAAGAGATACCGATGTTGGCATGGGAGGAGAAGGAAAATTTCACCCATGATTCAGGCTCCAAGCCCACAGGAAGAACAGGGCTCAGTATGCTTTGTAAGCAATAGGACTCATCAGTGACACTGTGTGCCCTATCTATGACTTCTAGCACTGAACAAGTTATCGTGCCAAGTTCAGCTATTTCTGCACTGAAGGAACAACGCATGTGATGGTAGCATGTTAACATACTCAATTCATGTCATCAAAGGGGAGAATACTAGTCAGGCCATTATAGATACTAAGGGATGTGTACTTCAAGTTTATTTTATTATTCCTTTTAACCTTTGGATATGTTTGGAAAGTTCAGTTACAAAATGTTTTCCCTTACAGACAGTCTTTCTGTCATGATTTAATATTTCACCATCCCTTTCACGAAATAGTTTGCTGTATTAACAAGAAATAGGAAATTTCCCAGCCACCTGACACTGATAGCTGCTCTCTTAGCAAATGTTTGCTGGAGTTTAACAAAACTTAAAAATTCTGAAGTGTGGAAACTCGGTTCACCTACTCTGAATCCATACTATTTCACTTCCATAAACAACTTCCGAACTACACTTCTCAGGACCAGAAAGAGAATGCCAAATAGATGTCCATAGAGCATAAGGGGAGCTTGGAGGTGGAATTCACTTCCTCCCCTTCACCACCCACCCCAGATTTTTCCCAAGAGAAGCCTTATCAATGAACAGTAAACTAAGCCTCTTTGCTGGGAGCAGTGGTTTTATGTTTGTTTGTTTTTTAAACAAAAACTATCTTGGGGAACTCTTAGAAATTGCTAATGTAAACCCCTCCTTTCTATGATGATTCAGAGGACTGATGCAGAATCCAGTGGAAGATCTGGTTTGGGATGACTTCTGAATTCATGTAAAATGACATAAACAGTCACAAGGAGAAGGATGCAGGATCCAGCATCAGACAGCATCGGACAGAATCCCTGCTCAACGTGTAGTAGCTATTGATCTAGGAGACCTGGTATCTTAGTTTCCACGTCTAAAAGATGGTGGTAGCTTAGGTTAATATAGGGATTAAATTGGAGGTCATATAGGAAGTGTTTATCACTATATATAATGTTCTAGAAAGACTCAATGAAGGATTTAGGGTTTCATGAATCACATTAGTCATGTTTTAATATGATTTGGATAGCCTCCCTCCCCAACCTAAGGGAAAGAAGTTGCTCCAAACATGTGACTATAAATACACTTTATTTTGCCTTTGCACTAGGAAAACATTAGCCTATATATCTAATCCAGTAGTAAAATTCTAATTTAAACAAAGGAACAAATGGCACATTGAGAAGTTAGATCAGTTCTTCTGTTTTCCTACTTAGTTCCAAAGTAAAACTTACAGTTGGATAAACAAATACTTAAGGCATAGAATCATTCCTCTACAGTTTATTCTTCATTCCATAAAATATCCCATTCCCATGAATTCCTTACACTTTGAAACCATTTAAATAGATGGAGAGGAAAAAACAGTAAAAATTCATATAGATGTCAAAACTGTAAACTCCAGGGTCTACATCTTTTCTTACTGGTTCTTCAAAAATGTTCCCAGAGAGTTAGAATGCAAATTTATTGCATGTATAAAGTGAAAAACCTGAAATGTTTTAATATAAAATGTTAAAACCTTTGATCACTATCCTAATCTTTTATAAACACAATAGAGAAATTATATTATAGAATCACATAAATGACATTTACTATAATCATAAATGACATTTACTATAATCAATGCTTTGAAAACATACGCCTGAGGGCATTCATATTTTCTTTAAGAAACCATTTTTAAGATAGAAAAAAATGACATTTAAGGTAAAGTGTTATTCCAAAACAAGTGTTTCATTTTAACTTTAAATTTTTACAGATGTACCCAAAATAGTCTTAAAATTGCAAATGACAAAGTGAATGGATTCAAAACTAAAGTCACAGGACACATAGAGACAGAACATCCGTATCCCCTGAAAGGCTACAATGGATCATTTTCCCCATCAAATCAAGCTGGTATCCCCTTATAAAATTAACATAGCAACACAAACACATGCCAGCTCAAACAAGGACTCAGCCATCCTCGACTTTCTTCAATGCTTTGCTATTTCTCCCAGCACTATGTCTGGCAAAAGCTACTCTGAAGCCTTTTGGGGACAGTAGGTTAAATGGCCTTTGAGATCAAAATGTTTCCTTGTGACTTGGATTTCATCTCTTGAATAATTAAGATTCCCCTTTTAATTACGTAACACTACTTCCGGGCAGATATAACATGTTTGGGGATTTGGGACTCTTAAGTCTATGGGTTTGAGACAGCTGGGCCCTGCCCTTCCTCTTTTTTTCCTCCATATTCTCTTCTCCAATCCGAAAATTCAGAAATGATTCCAAGTTGCAGAAGAGTTGGGTTTTTGAGAATGAACAGAAGCTTCTAAACAGATGAGTCAGGTTTATAACTATGATTCAAAAATGAACAGGGCGAGCACAGAATCCCATTTTTAGAACCTCACTATGACAAGAAAACCCCCAAGCCCTCTTTTGGACAAGGATGACTCTAATGACTGGTTTGCAAAGAAAACTCCCACCAGTTACCCTGCTGACTCAAGAATTCAATTGCTGCTCAATTGGAGTAGTGTCAACATTCTTCTATTCCTAACAGGAATGTGTCTACATTTCAAATTCACAATGGGGACTTGGGGTGTTACTAACATTTCAGAAAAGATGGAGAAGTTGTTCCATCACTCAACGAGCTGTGTTGGATTAAGAGTAAGTTTGTGCGAGTGACAGAGGTGAGTGGCAGGGACACACTAAGAAGAGAGCTTCCTGTTTCAGTTAGACAGTTACAAATGAAATACACTACCAGCCACCCTTTAAAATCCATTCCAACCATAGCATTTCATGATTATTCAGACATGCAACGTGATGACAATCCATTGAAAGAGGCAAGTGTTGACTGGGAAACTATTAAAAGACAATCTGTTGTGTATTAACCATTGCTTTTCAGGGAGTCTCAACTACTCTTTTGGCACTCTTTTGAAAACTTGAGGCACTCTATTTATGAATCCAGCTCTGCAACTTCACTCTCAACTAGCAGTCCAATGCTTCTGTTAAAAATGAGAATAAAGATAGACAGGATCTTTGTGATGACAAAACTATTGCCCAGTGGTCTCTGCTTTAGTTATACCTTAGAGTTACTCTTAAATACATCTAATTCCATCAATTATGTCCTGACCTCCTCCATGGAGCTAAGTTTTACAGTGAGCACAAATCCTGAATGAGGAAACCCTAGGCTACTCAAGACTTCTCTCTTATTGGTTATTTCCCCTTATAAATATATTAGCAAAAACAGCATTAATAATTTTCTTGGGAGGTGATACTCTGTCAAAATAAAATACTTCCAAAATGTGAACAATCTGGTGGCCTTAGGTTCACCAGCCTTGAAGATTCCCAGGGACAGGGCCACATTGGTCACGTGAGTTTGCAGCCTAGCACAGCTGTAGCCATGGACTCCTCATCTTTCTGATCTAACTCCCTTGCTACAGAGTAAGCCACCAATCCATTGGTCCACAGTCGTAGCTTGGGATCTGATTCTTTGGCAAGGAACCGCAGCTTCGTTCTCTTCATCCTCTTTACAATTCTAGCAAAGCCAAGCAGTACGGAACTAAATATCATAGCAAATCCACAGAGAAGGAACGCTGGAGTATAGCTGCCCGTCGTGTCCACCAGCCATCCTACAAGAAAGGCAAAGCCACTTTGTTGAACTAAAAATTCAATGACCAGATTGACCTACTCAAAAATGTAATCATTTATCAGGATGATCCCAATAGACTACAGCACATCATCATGACTGTGAACGAAAAGCAGATGGCCTAATATTACCACGTAGCAACTGAGGAATACATTCAGATTAATTAGGGCAATTTATAAAATAAATTAATAATTGTTATTAAGTGAAGGACTTTGAATCACATAATAGCTATTAGTGATTATTAATACCATGAGATCTGGTAGAAAATATTCAAATTTATATTTCATAGCCTGTAGCTTTAAAAATAATTTACATTATTGAAGTTGGGGTCATTTACATAAGAGTAAACATGCAAAATGCTAATACAATTCCCAGATCCCACATGCCATTTTAAATAACCTAATAGGCTTCAATGCAGTATCCAGTTGTCAAGGGAAGTTCAATTTCACTCATATCCCACTCAAATATCAGGACTTTGGACCATTGCTTCTTGGCCTTTGGGCTAAGTGTGCTGAACATGGTGGTGTGTATTATTTTAAATATATATACCTGAGACCACACAACTATAATCACAAATTTGTTGCTGTTGCAACATATCAATCCCAGTAGCTAAGCCAGACACAAAATTTGAGGACAACCATGTTGTATGACAGGAAAAATATGGGTCACAAGGATCAGAGAATCATTGGGGTGAAGCTGCACTTTGGCAGGAAGTTACTTTGTAATTAACAAGGAGCATCTTTGAATTTTTCCTCAAAACATCACTCAGATGCCACCAAAATTCATCAGGAAAGCACACAGCTTCTCTTTTCAGCCACTTCAAACCCACTCGTTGAAATGGTGTGTAAAATTAGTTCACATTGTACAAAGTTTCCCATGATTGGGGCCCCCTGTACACTTTTTTTAATGGTCTGATTCATGTGTAGATTTCTGTAGAACCAAAGTAGTCACTTTGAAAGTCAACAGACATTTACCAGCTTCCTTCTGTTGCATTAAAATGGAATATTAATTTCCTGTGTCACAAATCTCTAGCTTACGATTTCTAACATTTGGTGCCAACATACGCATGGAAAAGCACACAGAGCTCTGTCCGCAGTCCAAGTGACAGAGATGTATGTACCATCACGCCACTGCCTCTCCTTTTGGCATCACCACCCACTGTTCCATTTCAGAAGGAAGTTTCCTTCTGAATGTGCCTGCCTGGCTTACTTAGAACTGGGACTAATGTTCCATTCTTTTACTTCCAGTCTGAACTGGAACCAAGACCCTAATTTGGGAACTTTCTCTTTCCAGGCAAGCCACCATCCTTACTTGGTTGGGAAGAGATTATAAAAGAAGAAAGTGGGTAGGGCCATGATACTTTGATGGCTCTTGTATTCCTGTTATTGTTGTCTTTTACTCTCCTCTAACTTACTGGATTAGCTGTTCCTAGTCTTTTGGCATATGAGTTGTGTTCTCGAAGTGTGTGCCCTCTTCTTCCACATCAATGTGACGACAGTGGCTAGCAAGCTTTTAACGCTTACCTGCGATGGGTGGGCTCACCAAGTATGGCACTGCATGAAGGAAGTATACCACGCCAAGTGCCGATGACAAAGAGGTGGTCCCCACCATCTCCGCAGTCACTACTGGGATCAAGGTAACGTAGGCTCCATCAAAGTAGCCAAAAGTACAAGAGAAAGGCACAAGAAGGGGGAAACTTTGAAGCATTGGGAGGCACAGATAGCACAGCCCATCTAATGCCACAGCGAAGAGGTAGCAAACATACCGGTAATTCTTCAAACACCTACGGATGGGAAGAACAACAATGAGTATGGGACACACAGGTTCTACAAATGAGAGTTTGAACAAAGCCATGAAGTTGTAAGCACTGCAGCTATTTACACTGGTACCTTCATTTGCGTTACCTTCCAACTTCTCTTTTCTTTTTAAAGATTAAACCCTTCTATGATACCAAAGATTAAACACACACATCACACACACACACACACGAATTGGTTCCCATGGAGGCAAGAAGAGGGTGTTGTATTCCCTGGAGCTGGAGTTACAGGTGGTTGGGAACTGCTCAGTGTCGGGGCTAGGAACTGAACTCCAGTCCTCTGAAAAAGTGGCAAATGTTCTCTATTGCTGGTTCATCTCTCCAGCCCCTGTTATCCCTTAGTTGTTCTACTGGCATATGTAAATAAATTTATGTCTGTAGGAAGCATAGTGTGGTGATGCTCTGAAATTAGATATGTACAACATTGCAGCATAACTCTGATCTGAAATTCATTCATCATAAAACGAGATTATCTACTTCAATAATATGTAAGGCTGGTTGTGGAATAACACATAGCATGTCAAGAGGCTACAATTTTCTAGGCATCTGCCATATTGAGCTCTTGGAGATGTGGTAGCCATTGGTGTGGAGTACATCACAAATGCTCAATGACTCAGCTGATCATCCATGGCTGAGACAGGAATGCGAAGTTATTAAAATGAAATGCAGGAGTGATGAAGGCCAAGTCATATATGCAGGCTTCCCCAATGGCACTGCCACTGCATTCCCTCTCTGCAATTCCATCCTCTTCCGTGATACCAGTCATATGAAAAACTGTCTAAATGTCAGCTGTGGCGATTTGCAAATGCTTTCTCTTACAACCTCCAAATATTGCACTGACCTGTTAGACAGATGGAGCCCTTGAGCACCTGAGCTCAGGTGATTTTCCCTGGGTTATGGGGTTCATAAGGCGCAGAACTGGCATCAGAATTTAAGTGTTATGCCTAGCCATGCCTCCTCCTTATGCCTAGCCATGCCTCCTTCGGCTTACACGTTGCTTCTGCCTGAGTCATCACTGTGCAGGGGACATCGCCCTTCCTCCTTCCTTTGTCCTTGATCTACAATGTGGAAGTGCTCGGGAGTGGCTCCGTGAACTTTCCAGCACAGAAGGTTCTGGCTTTATCACCAGCCAAGCACAAAACAAAACAAGTGCAGTCAATCCTAAATATCATATAATTGTTAGAAGGTGACAGCCAGATCCTGATTAACTACCAAAGCATAATTTGTGAGAAGCTGTGATAGATCTCTCAGGTCATAACTTAAATGTAAAGAATTCCTCATCTAGGACATCATTAGAAGCTTGCATTCTTCAGTCCAAACAGGTAATTTGGATTTGCTGTAGATTTCCTATAAATTCAGTTTCTAAGCTTACAATATTATGAAGGTATTCTCCCACATTTGGATCTGAATACGTGGCTAGAGACAGTGTGTGTTATTGTACCTGACCCTCTAACTTGGACTAGATTCAGCTCCCCTTTCTCTAGATGATGGCTGGGATGATTCAAAACAAGTTTAAACCACAGCAGCCAACCAGCAGTTGTCTCAAGGGAGAACTTGATTTGCCTTGGGCTGGAATTCAAAATGTCATTGGAACTTTCAGCTGTCCTCGCCCTGGGCTGTTCAGAGAGCCTTATCAACCTAGACAATCAAAAACAAGGGTGGACATCTAGGGTCACAGTTAGCTTGCTATCTGCTAGTGTAACTTACCTCTTTTCCCCATTTTTTAATGGTTTGGAAACAGGGAAAAAACAATATTTGGTGAAATATATAAAATTTCAATGTGCACGGATACTCCAGCACACAGCTGCTTTTTGGGCTGCCCTAGCAGCCCTGGGAAGCCATGACAAATACGATATGGTCGACAAAGCCAAACAATGTTTACTCTGTGTCCCTTTACATAAAGAGGTTGCCAAAATCAGATCTATAAGAATCAGCAAGAAGGCTGACTTCAGATATTGAAATTATCCTTCAAAGGTAGGTAGGTGTGTGGCAAGGTAAGGTCAGGGGAAACTAGGGGCTAGGAGAAACCAGTTGTGTTTTCATGGATTTTGTAATCTTACCTTCTGTCAGTAAGCCATCCAAATGTGATGTTGCCAACAATATCTATCACCCCGAGTACGGACATAAGGAAAGCGGCTTGATGGTGGCTCACTCCGACACTCAGAGCATAAGGCACTAGGTACACAAAAAGTGGACTGCAGCCGTAAGCCATGAACAGAACGGAGACGGCTAACACGACGAAGTCCGACATCAGTAAAAAACCATACTCCTGCTGCAAAGAGCAGCAAAGACAGGCCTGTGCCCATTCTTTGGTCAGAGGTGAATAGGAAGTTGCCTGCTTACAGTCTTCTCTCTGCGTTCCATGGTCGCTAGTCTTCTCTGGACTCGAACAGTCCTCTTTAAGAGTAATTGGACGCATCAAAGCGCCACAGACACAGAGATTCAAGACGAACCCTCCAAGGATGAGCAGTGCCCCTCGCCAGGAAAACTGTTCGATAAGGAGCTGAACGACAGGAGCCAGGATGAAGGTGCCGATGCCACTGCCTGACATGGCGATCCCATAAGCCAGGGCTTTCCGCCTGCTGAAATACTTGCCAACCATGGCAATAGCCGGAGAGTAACAAAGTGCAAATCCAAGACCTGGGAGACAGAGAATGCCATGAGCGCTGCTGGTTCACGGTGAGCAGCCAGGGGGCGGGGAAACCGTCTTGAAACAGGATGGCAGCGATGGAAGAGTATTTGGTCTTCCAGGAAATCCCTTATAGCGGTTTGTATACCCAGCTGAAAAATTAGACTTCCTTCTAGTTATCCAAAAACTAGCAAAATACAGGACTTGTGTGACATTTTTCTTAGGAAGAATACACTAAAAGAAAGGATTTCTCAAAGAAAAGAAAATGGAGAACTTGAAAAAAAAATCACTGTTCAAGCTAACCTGGAATTTACTAGCAAAATCCAGAAAATGCTGGACTAGGAAACTGATTCCTCCCTCCCTCCTCTGCCCTTCCCTCTCTCTTTTCCTCCCCTGTGTGTTTTTGTGGGTTAAATCGGCTGAAAAAAATGCCTCAACCCTTCCCCTCCCTGAGAAGACACAGCTTTGACAATGCCTGTGGCACCCTGGATTTGCATGGAAGCTATCTGGCTTCTATTACTTAAGATTAATTTAGAAAGCCTAAGGGGCTTCAAGCCTAGATTTCAGAGCATGTAGGTTACTTACTTCAACACAACTAAAGACATCCATGAAATAATGTGTAGCACATCTAAAGACTGATCATGCCAGAGAAGAGAAAAAAGAATCACTTTCAGCACCCATTGTCATAGCCAGCAGATCAATGGGTTTCCAGATGTGGGACTTTTAGTACTAAAACCAGACCAGTTCCTAGTAAAATTAGCAGTCAGGCCCCTTGAGTTACTCAGTATATGGACCTTCCTTACAAGACAGACTCTATATGTACAGCCTCACTATGAGGTTACATCCATTGCTGGCCTAATTCATGCTACACTCATAGTGCAGTACCCAGACAGGAGTAGGTACCACATTCCATGGCCGTATCAGTGATGAACAGAATGCCACTTTTGTCCCATCAGTCAATTCCACTCAGATCCTATGCAGTCCCCTTAAAGTATAGCTTGTGGAATGTACATGTTCTTCTAGTTCCATAAAATCCATCACAATTTTCTAAAGTGATGTTTTTATAACACTGAGAGAGCGTGGAATGAGATAGCAAGGTGCTATCTTTTCCAAATTGAAATTCCCACTTATTGGATAATAATACTCATAATAGAGCCAGGACACCTCAAGCTGAACAGTGTTTAATTAGTGTCTTAGCAAAGGCAAATGAGAATGGCCATTGTTGAAAATCTGTACTGTGCTGAGTGCAGATCATTTCTTCTGAGTACAGATTCTCAGGCATAGAGAAAAGTTATTTTTCACCACATGACTAGATTAATGTAGTGAGGCATGTTCACTAGTGTAGTGGAATCACATATCCAACTCTGGTAACTGCTAAGTAGGTAGTCATTAGCTAAGTCAGCTGCATTATGCATCTAACAAAATGAATATTTTCTAAATCTCTGCTTTGTTTATATGCTTGACAACACATGAACAAGGTATGTCCGGGCAGGTGGAAGAAATGTACTCACCTGTAAGAACTCCCAGGGTGAGGTAGAGATGCTTCAGGCTGGTGGCAAATGATCCCAGGATGAAACCAGTAGATGCCAGCAAGCCACCGAGCATGATTCCCACTTGACAGGATAAGTGGTTACTGACAACGCTTCCAAGTGGAGCTTCAAAAACAACAGACAGGTCAACAGAAAGGAAGGCTTTAGGGGTACCTTGAAAACACTGTGGCGTTGCACTGACAGAGAAGAGAGTTATCAACCTTATAAACATCAAGCCCACCCCCTCATTTTATAACTGTGGAAATTGAGACCCACGGAGAAGTGACCCATTGGAGGTTAGACTAGCAGGAGCAGGGCAGGGACAGCGATGAAATGTCCCAACTTAGATTCTTAGCTTCATTCTCTTATAGTCATACTTCCAGGACTAGAGAGTAGTTTTTGTTTTTATTTACTTTTTCTTTTATTTATTTAATATTGTTTATTATGTTTGTATTTATTTACTTTTACATGCATTAATGTTAGCCTACATGTATACCTATACATCATGTGAATACCTGGTGCCATTTGGGGTCAAAAGAGTTTGTCAGACCCCCAAGAACTAGATTTACAGAGGGTTGTGAGCTACCATGAGGTTTCTGGAAACTGAACCCTCTGTAAGTCCTCTATAAGAGTAGCAAGTGATCTTAACTGCTGAGCTGTCTCTCTATACCCAAGGTTTTTTTTTTTACACAGAGATCCATTATTTATTTAAATTGCATTCACTTGCTCAAGGATGTTTATATCCAGTATTGCTTTTATAATGTAAAAGTAATGAAGATAGTTGCTTGATGAGTTGTGGAATATTTGTTTACACTGTGTGAAGATGTACCACTGTGATTGGTTTAATAAAGAGCTGAATGACCAATAGTTAAGGAGGAGAGAATAGGCAGGACCTCTGGTCAGAGAGAAACTCGGGGTTGGAATCTGGTACAGCAGGAGATGACAACAAGACACTGAAGAAGCTGAACATATGATACACAGGAGAGGTAACTGAGCCACATGGCAGAACATAGATCAATAAGAACAAGTAAATTTAAGCTACAAGAGCTAGTTGGGGAAAAGCCTAAGCTAAAGTCAAGCGTTTGTAATTGATAATACATCTCTGTGTTATTGGGGAGCTGATGGTCCTGGCAAGAAAGTGGTACTACAATGAATTTTTATTTTGAAGGAGAAAAAAAATCAAAAGAGCTGATTCCCTGAATATCTGTTTAATAGCCAGTTTTGTATGGATCAAGTTAAAATTAGAGACACACATGCTACACTCTGTTACTGGCCAGCATCCTCTACCAGTTACAGTTAACTCTGGGAGAGTGGGAAAGAGTAAATCTCTAGAGACTGTGTAGACTTCTCAAGGGTGCTGCTACTATGGTTACTAGAAAGTGAAAACATTTGAATCATAATATAAACCAAACTTGATGAGGATGTTACACCAACTTCAACAAGCTAGGCTCACTTGTCTGTTCATCACATGGCATATCTTCTTCAGGGGATGTGTCGGCGCAGCTATGCAATCTCTTGTTCATGCTCTAAATTCTCATAGTGCATAACTTCCATCAGCAGGGGAATGCATGTAGACAAGTACAGCAAGACTCACACTCTTACACAGAACATAAAGTCAGTTTTTCCCCCTGCCCAGAGCCTACACTGTCATGGTGACTATATTGTTACTGCTCTGTAGAGAATCATAAATATTCTCCAGAAGATAACACTGTGGGAGATGAGTCATGCTCTGAGGCCTGCTGATATGAACACTGTGGCTAACAACATGACCCTGAAAATCTAGTGCTAGCTCAAGGAGATGGGGGAGGGATACACCCAGAAACCAAGTAAACAGTTTTCTTAATACTTGTAAGTTGAAAAGTAAACTTAGTCCTTTCAAGAAATTTTCAGTCAACCCTCGAAGCAGAAACACACTTTAACATAAACCACTGATTCCTAAATCTAGACATTTAAAAATGTGCTATTTTCCTTAATTATTAAAAATGATGAAAATATAACAAAATTTAATTTATTAACAATAAGTATATATGAGTCAGTACCTAGAATGGAGTCAGATGAATTTATCATGAGTTACTGTTTAGATTTATTTATTTTACATTTTGTGTATGGATGTTTTGTCTATGTGTATGTAAGTATACCACATGTGTGGTGGTCTCCAACAAAGCCCAGAAGAAGGCATCAGATGCCCTGGAACTGGAGTCACAAATGATTTCTGGCTGCCATGTGGATGCTGGGAATTGAACTCGGGTCACGTGCAAGAGCAGCAAGTGATTTTAACCACTGGGCCATCTCTCCAGCCCCAGATAAAAGTTTCTCAAGAGACAACAGTTCCTAAAGCATGTTAGGATTCATCTTATTGAAAAGATACAGTGGATCCAGGCTAGAAATGGACTGTTCCAATTTAATGTAACTTTAGAAATTCACTAGTAAGCAAAGTCAGTAACTTTGGTACAAAATATATAAAAAATGAAAAGTTTTTCATTCTCTACTAAGATGCAATGTCAGTTCCCATGATTTCTGGAACCCATCCATGTCATAGAGACCACACTTGAAGTTTTGTAAATTAAGTTATAACCACAACGAGTATGCTTAGTTCTTGATCGCATCTTCTGCAATGTTTCTCTTACTCATGAAAAGATGAAATCTGTGAGTTAAAGTGGGAACCCTGAGGGAAAGGACCAGAAAGAAAGGCAAGACTTGAGATATGATCCATTGTTGTTGGCTTTCATTTAAGGAGACTATATAGAAATGGCTCCCGAACCATACCATCCTGAAATCACTTGATCCCATTGAATCTTGGAAGCTAAGCAAGGATGGTTCCTGTTACTATTTGGATGAGAAAAATGGCTTACTGTCCTGTTCAATGTACGCTTGCATGACTAGAAAATAAAAAGGCTGTCAAATTTGGAAGACATAAGTCATGTGAATTTTGCCCAGAAATTCCTCTCCAGATCATCACAAGCTCTATGACACTCAGATCCAGATGAATCAAATGATTTGTGTCTTTCCCAATGTATTGATGAATTACTCCATCTGTCATTAGTCAAGGCCATCAATTCCAAAAGCAAGTTTGTTAGGTTTAGCTGAAGATGAGATTGACCTTCTAGTTTTTCAGTCTTAACTAGTAACATAGTTCTTCCACTTAGAAAACTAATAATGAAAATTGCCAGTTGACTCTATCAGAAGTCATTGTCACATTCAGTTCCATAGTATCCAGCAATTGTGTACCCCAGTAAATAATACTCACCACAGAGCATTGTCATACAGTCTACAATGGAATGGATCCATGCTGTTTGTGAGTAATCCTGAGCAAAGTACGTCTGGAACTCCACAAAGAAAATGGAGATACATCTGAAAAATACATTGCAGGTATTTTATATAAAAGACAAATGAAGACGGAAATTAATCAGAACCTAAATTATTGTAATTATCTGCTGCAGCTTCAAAGGATTTCAGCTGCTGAGCTACAGTCAGTAGGAAACCAGGAGCTGACCACTGGGGCCATTCTGAAGAACCGGAAAACAAGTGTACCATCACCAGAGTGGCTGCTGAAACCACAGAGATAAGAAGACTACTGCTCTAAGAGGGTGTTGTGGAAAAAAGAAAACATGTTAAGAACATAATTCATTATTAAATATTAGCATTAATATTTTCTTTACTTCTTTAAGGTGATATACAACGTAAACTTGAAAAATGAAGAATAACATAAAAACAAGTCTCAGAAATTTTACTTCTAATATGTACAAAGGCAATAATCTGATGATAATAATGATGATGGGGATAGATGTACTGCAATGAATATAGTCTAGAGAACAATTTATTAAAGCTGAACATTGTAATTGACCTGTTTATCATTAAAAGACTTGTCTTGGTTACTTTTCTATTGCTGTAGTAAGACACTGTGACCAAGACCACTTATAGAGGAAAGTTTATTTGGAGTTTACAGTTTCAAAGAGTTGAAGTCCACAACCATCATGACAGGAAACACAGCAGTAGGCTAGCAGGCTTGTCACTGGAACAGTAGCTGAGATCTTATATCTTGATTGATAAGCTCAAGGCAGAGAGAGAGATATAACTGGGGAGGGTAGTTTGGGAAACCTCAAAGTGTGTCCCCAGTGACACTTCCTAGACCAAGGCCACACCCCCTAATTTCTTTCCAAACAGTTCTACTAAATAGGAACCAAGCATTCAAATATATGAGTCTATGGGGGGTCATTTGATTAAAACTAACACAAAACTGATTAAAAATTATGATTTTTCAATAAGACAAGATAGTATTTTAGTAAATATTTTTAAATGATGTTGATCTGTATACAATGGTTTGGAAATATAATGTTAACTCAAAAAAGTAAGGGCTGGCAATTGACATAATGGGTAAAGATTCTTGTCCCCAAGCTTGATGACCTTGACCAGTGGACCCCACCAAATTCCCACAAGTAGTTATATGCTCTCCATATTCACATGCACGCTCCACCCCCCAAAAAAATGTAAAAGAATTTTAAAATTACAAAATAGTTCATAGAGCAAGAACTAATTTTTAAGCCTAAAAGCTGACCTGAGGCCAATCCTCTGTGCTGTGTGCATCTTGGCCAATCACTACATGCAAATGGTGGGATTGCAAATAAATGTTCTAGCCTTCTTATAGATTTCAAATGATTTCACACTCAACATGGTGTCTTGCATATAGTCCCATGCATATAAAGGCACAGCAAAAAATACAAAGGATAATTAATGTTCATGATGAATGTATTATAGGGAACTAAATAACCAACCCAGAGGCAATGGCATGGAATCTGGCATCCATGCTCTATAGCAGAGGTCAGTGCCTGGGGCAGGGAAGAAAAGAACGCCGGATTAACAAATAGAGGTCAAGCTGCGATAAAACCTCCGGAATCCTCATCCAGGTCCAAAGGATAGGCCTACCCTCTCTCTACCAATCATCGAGTATGATGCCCCCTGGAGGACAGGCAGCTTCCTACAGGTGATGGAGAGAGAAGGACTCTGACAGCGGTAGTTGTGTGTTTCTGTATATGTACTATTCAGTGGAGGCCATGCTAATGGCACATCTCAGTCAGAGGCTGGAGTATTGAAATGCATGTAGTCACCCTCAACAGCACAGATGATGAGCGTAAACTACCCAGATGTGTGTATGACTTTAATTTGAATTAAAATATTGCAGGACTTCCTAAAAACATGAATTAACTATAACTAGATTAAGCCAGTTTTATATCACAGCAAGAAGAAAAACAAGAGCCCTTCAACCCAGATGCAGGAATCCATCTGTTGATTTTGCTTTCTTCCCCAAACAGACACTGATCTCCAGAACACTCACTAATAAATCCTGAAAAAAAAACTATCAGCAGAGCAAACAGACAACCCATAGAACAGGAAACAATCCTCACTAGCTGTATTTAGACATGGGGGTAATACTCAGAGTTTATAAAGAACTGCAGAAATTAAACACACACACACACACACACACACACACAAAGCGAAGTGTTGATCAGAAAATGAACTCAGGAAATGAGAAGTGTTCATTCAAATGAAGAAACACAAGTGGCCAATAAGTGTTTTTAAAAGTGTTCAATATCCCCAGTGGTCAGGGAAGTGCAAGTTAAAACTGCTTTTTTATACCACCTCATCTCAGCCAACGATCTGACAGCAGATGCCAGCGAGGGTGTGGGGAAAGAGGAACCCTTGTTCACTGCTAGTGGGAGTGTAAAGTAGTACAAGCATTGTGAAAATTAGTAGGGAATGTTCTAAATAACTTTAAAATAGAACTACCATATGACCCCTATACTACGCCTGGGCACATGCCCCACAAATTCCATGTCAACCACAGAGATATTTCCACAACCATGTCTATTGCTGCTCTAATCACAGCAGCAAGGAAATGGAACTAGCAACAGATGAATGAATGATGGAAATGTGGTACACATACACAATGGAATCTCAGCTATAAAGAAATACGAAATTGGCCGGAAATGGGTGGATCTGGAAAATATATTGTCAAGCAAGGTGACCCAAACTCAGAAGGCAAAAGCCTCTTGCTTTTCACATGCAGATCCTAGTATGTTAAACAGATAAAAGTGTGTGTAAAGCCTAAGAAACTTAAAAGGAGGCCAAAAGAAGGTAAAAGTAGGTACCGAGGAAAGAAGGAAGGTGAGCTACAGAGAATGAGATAGGGCACAGCTCACAGGGAAAACAGGGATATCAGAGAGGTGGGGGAGATTAATGGAGCTGAGAATCACTAAGACACTTCATTCAAATGCAATGATGATTTAATAAAAATACACACCTATATACTAAAAGCAATAACAAAACCCTGTGAAGTTCCTTACCATCAGGAAGACTTCTGGTCTGGTACTAAAATGTCTAGTATTTTCTCCTAACTACTCAGCTTTTAACATAAGTGAAAAACGATTTAACAAATATAGCCTTATTTTCAAAATAGTTAAGTTACCCACCACGCAGGATTCAGGGCAGAACACTATTGACTTTGGGGCTGGGTAAATCCTTGAGGGATTTGTCCTGTGTGCAGGATGCTTAGCATCATCTCCAATTTCTGCTCCACATGTCTCCAGACATGACTAATAAGCCTTGAAGCCAAAATGAGGCTGGCTGATGACAAGTGACCTAATCATCAAGTTTTCCAATTCCTCTGCATTGCATTCACATTTCATGGGTCTCAGTCCCTCTTCCTGCTCACAACTGATGCCAGCGCCTTCCCTGTGAACTGTATCTCAAAGCTCCTAACCGATGCTTCTGAATTCACACTTGACTGCCTTCAGAGCATTCTGCCAACAGTGCCAGAGTTACCTTCCTGGAACACAAATCATATCCTGCCATTTCAAACATTTTAGCTTGACTTAGGAGATTCTGCGAGCTGGCCCTTTTTGTTGGTGTTTCTTTCTGTCCACTGTTGGATACTTCATTTCAGCCATACTGAGTTTCTTTCTGCCTCTTTCAACACTCTCCCTGAGTTTTATGCACTTCTAAACATTATTTTACTCTCAGGCTGTCAGCCAGTCTACACCTCTAGGAAGTCTTCCTTGACTACTCCTTTACTACTTAAGACAGGAATCGATGCTTCTCTTACATGTCCTCTACATGCATGTTTAGCATGAGGTATGGCAACTCCCTTTACATTTGTTTGTATTGTTCACTAGCTGTTTCTCAGTGACGGCAGAAGACATGTCTGTCTTAACTCACACTAAATCCCAAATGTCTAATATAGTATATGTCATCTGGTTCAATGGAAGAAGGGGAGGAAACAATTAAAGGAGAGAAAGAGGAAGGAAGAAGGATGAAGAATGAGAGGGGATAGAAATGGAAGGGAAGGAGGAAGGAGGGAGAAAGGGGGAGCCACACTGACTGGAATGTAAGGAAGTGAAATGGTCCAATAGGAAAAGAAGAGGAAGAGGGGCTGGGAGCTCCAACAGATGAGCATGCATGGATGTGAGCTGAGGCAGGGACATGAAGCATCTGGTCACTCTCTGAAGAGAAAGAGTCAGCAGGATCGGGTGCAGAAGGTGGCAGTGCGGGAGCACAGAGGAGTTGAGGGACAGATGGCAAGCTACTTTACAATTAGAAACCACAGGCTCATCTCATCACTAGGTCATTTGGGGGAACTGACTATCAACGTGATGGCTCTTGTGACTTTGTTGTTGTTGTTGTTGAAGTTTTTACCTTGTTTTTCACTCGCTGCTTTCCTGAACTGAATTGTCTAGTTGCGTCCGTGAAACTTTGGGTATTAAAATCAAAGACACGAGCTTCATGTCTGGACACATGAGTGCCTTAGCCGGAGGGAAAACGTTTAATGACCACATCCGTCATTCCAAGCATTTCTACGATCATGACATTCAGGAAGATGGATTATGTCATTCAGAAGAGGACCAAGTTACAAATGACAAAATAAAACTAAAAGGAATAATGTGGTCATATTCCACCTCTTTATAAAGGGGAGAAATGACTGGAGCTTTCCAGATGGTGGAAGTCCGGATTGTAAGATTTAAAACCCAGTGGTGATCTTACAGAAATTGAATTCCAACAGGAGCACACATGCTGTGGATTGTGTGGTTGTTGTCTGGGATGCCTGTGCAATAACAGGAGTCAGGAAAGCAAAACTCCCATTCCAGAGTCATAGCACGGGCAACCAGTCATCGAGGAAAATTTGTGATCTCCCAGGGCCTCAATTTCATCATCTATAAGTCAAGCATTTTTGCAAGCATAATTCACAAAAGTCAGAATGATGAGTCTCATGACATCTCTTCAGTCCTTGAGGGTTTGATAGGGTCTGTTCACAAAAATGTGGGAACAAAACACAGCAAGCATTATCTCTGATAACCAAAACTGCTTTCTTAAAGATGATTCGACTCCACTGGTCAACACACTGGCGGTGTCAGTTTCATCACTGCTTTAACACTGTCCTCGCTATTACAAAACTGATTGCTAATACTTGGCTTGGTAAAGAGATATCTAGGTTGATTTAGTTATCTGTTGAGTCAGCTCAAGTACTGGGGCATTACAGCCTAGTAGTCAAAATCACTGTCTCATACCATGACTAATCCTGCAAATGTGGTGGAAACAAGTGTATAAAAACTATTTGAAAGCACGCCAACAAGCACAAAGTAAGTGCTCAGTAAAGTTAGCAATCCTTTTTTTTTAAACCCCAATTGTTCTGAAAAGACTTAGAAAAAGCTGCAAAACTCCTTTAAAGAACTCCAGAAACTCATTTCAAATAAGTTGATTTGGACCCAGAAACTCTAGGCAAAAACAAGTCTCTGACCTATGATATTAATTTGTTTGGATATTTAAATAAAATGTTTGCTTCTCAAGTATCCACTCATGTTGTCAGTATAGGAATATAATTTATGTAATTGCATTTTAAATGTGATTCTTACATGGACAATGTATTTTAATAAGGAAAAAGAAATAATCAATGCATATTAATAATTAGATGACATAAACAATAATGACTGTTTCCATAGATTGTAGAACTTTAAAATTTAAAATTTACAAAGTACAAGTCCATAGCTGAAGTAGGACTTTTAAATGACTTGGATCATAATTATAGCATTGTCTATAACAGCAGAATCCAGAAAACAATAGAAAATCCCATCGTGAACACACGTGTATGATAGATTTTAAGCAACAGTTTTTTCAGTGAGTTATAACCATGTTTATTGATATGGAACAATCTCAAGAGAAATTATTAAGGGGGTCAGAACCCCCCTTATGACCCTGTATCCAAATAACCCTGCTTGTGTCGATAACAAGAACATACATTTGTGTTAGGCCAAGGCTGAGGGAACTTCTTGTTTTAATTTTGAGACTTAACTAAAAAAAATACCGCTAATGTTAGTTTTTAGGCAGTGGAATTGAATCAGGAAGCAAGGAAGAAAAATACATGTTTCCAAAGTACTTAAATGCTACCATCTGAATGCAAGATATTTTGTTTTGAAATGTATTTTTAATAGAAAATCAAAGCATAATTGTCCTGTAGACATTGATTATCTATGACACAGATTACCCTGGCTTCCTTTTTTTTTTTTTTTTTTTTTTTTTGTTCTCATCTCCAGTTCCCTTTGCTGCTTCTTGGTTTGTGACATTTAGACAGGCTGGCTACATCACCACACATTCTCATTTGCCTTTATTCTGCTCTAGCATTCTTCCCTTGGCCTCTCCTGTTGACCCAGTCTGCTCTTCCGGGTTCGAACTAAATTCTTGGCAGGTTAGGAGTGGTGAGGAAGGGCAGACACTGATGCAGGTTGAGACATATTTCTCCTTTATATTTTCCAAATTCTTTCCATCCTTTAGAGCTTCAATATGGGGACAACTTTTTTTTTTTTGAGACAGCTTCTCTAGAAAGCTTGTCCTGAACTTCCAGGCCTGAATTTGTCTTTCTCTTATGCAACTAATAGAAGTTTGCACTTAAAAGAAGTTACACCAAAGAATTCCTTTTTAATTCTACAACCTAGTCACACTCAGAATACAGAAGAAAATCAGACTCAATATAAAATTATTTTGAAAAAAAATCCATGATTTAGGCCAGATGGTGGTGGCACACGCCTTTAATCCCAGCACTCCGGAGGCAGAGGCAGGCAGATCTCTGTAAGTTTGAGACCAGCCTGGTCTACAAGAGCTAGTTCCAGGACAGGCTCCAAAGCCATACAGAAACCCTGTCTCAACTCCTCCCCAAAATCCATGATTTATTAGGACGTATAACCAACAAACCTTAATGGTGGCAAATATAAACACCTACACTACATCTGTTGACAGACAGGTATCAATATCTTCATGATGATATCAAATAAAGTTATTAGTGCAAATATTTTTATACTATCTAGAATGTACTGTCAGAGAAGAGAAACTCAGTTCCATTTGAACAAAAGTGGGAAAGGAGCTATCACATGCATATCACAAGTATTCATTCATAAACATATGAAGTGGGCTAGTTGGATATTCAGTATATTGAGTACCAGGCCTCTGAAAGAAAAACAAATGAGCAAACAAGGATGAAAGAGTCACTGTTTTCTTTTTGTTGTTGTTTTTTTTAGTTGTTCTTCTTTTCAACCTAAAATCCAGCTGCAAAGCAAAAGATACATGAGCAGCCCCACACACACATATGAAATGACATGAGCTCATCCTTAACAAATCAAGAGGAAAGATCCACTTACCTGGTAACTGCCCGGGTACAGATGGTAACAAGGAAGCAGCCAGCCACTATCATCCAGCCCCAGCCTCCATCTGGAGGGGATGCCGACCCAACTCTAGTTATCTTCGCCATGGTTTCTATTCTGGTTTTCTTCTCTTTCCAAGTTACTTCAGTAGTACGTTATAATCATGAAAGTTTACTACCCAGTAACTTCCTGATAACATTCAAAGTTGGTACAGGATGCTACCTGGCACAGGGGTTACTGGCCATCTAAAGTGAAAACAAGGGCATACTTTTATTCCATTGTCATGTCCAAAGGTGCATTTTCACCTGATAAGTAATTATTACTCTCCTATTAATATGATTACTTATAACTATGAATACTGAGACATGGTAAAGACTGGTAGCTGTCCTTTTTAAAAAAATTCTTTAAATGTAAAACTGGTTTTTTTTTCCACAATCCTTGAGAAGTTGCCATTCCTTCAGAAAATGAAAGTGACAACATGATAAACAGAGGTCTCCTGTGAGTCAAAGTTACCCTGAATGACCATAGCTAGCACAGGGAGGACTATAGCACAAGGATGACCATAGCACAGGGATGACCATAGCTCAGGGATGACCACAGCGCAGGGATGACCATAGCTCAGGGATGACCACAGCGCAGGGATGACCATAGCTCAGGGATGACCACAGCGCAGGGATGACCATACTCAGGGACGACCATAGCGCAGGGATGACCATAGCTCAGGGATGACCACAGCGCAGGGATGACCATACTCAGGGACGACCATAGCGCAGGGATGACCATAGCTCAAGAACTATCCTCCCCAGGACTAGGGAAGGCAAAGCAACACTTCTGGGAGCATTCAACCCCAATACAGTTCTCCCGAGAAGCACAATCCTCGGAAAGAATGCTACTCTCCCCCTTTCACAATGGTGATGCTTCTGCTCAGAGGAGACTCCCTTAATGCTGCTGCATCCAGACACATATGGCAATGGGAATCTCAGCAGACTTCAAATGATATAGTTAGACACTAGCCCTGGAGATTTCAAATCATTTCTGTCAACATGATGTCCACACAATGCTAAAATGTGACAAAGGAAGAGAGAAGGGGACTCCACAATGTTAGAATTATGGTTAGTCTTGATCACAAAAAAAATGCATTCAAGTTTCTCTCAAAGCAGGTCAGTTAATAGATATGTCTTCCTGAAGAAACACGCAGGTTTAACACAGTGATGCTAGCTTCCTGGAAACTTTGAAGTAGCCAGCCATTCCTAACATATTAACTTGAGCATTCTTGTAAATGATTAACCCATCCGATATTTGCCAAAAAACAGCAGGGAAATCTTTTACTGACTCACCAGTATGTCTAAAACTATAACAAACAAAGCACTGCCATCATGCAACTCTTCTCTAATTTACTGCATTTTTATATCAACCAATAAAACATAATGTATGTTTCTATATTATTGTGTGTGTATATATGTATATATTTTTTCTGGCTTCAGAAAGATTTTCTCAATCAGAAACTGTATTAGAATGTTCTTCTGAAACTATCCCTTTGAGTACAAACTGGAATTTAGTCCCAATTCACTTCCTCCTCTTGTTGCTTTAAAGAATTTCATCACTTGCAAAAGGCTGCTAACACTCAGTAAAGCTCCAAACTTTGGGAGGGGTGCATCTCTTTCCTGTTACCCTCCACGGAGTTTTCTAAAGTGGCCTCCTTTATCTGTAGAAAATGCACAAATTCATACATCGGCAGCCAGCTGAAAGGAAGCTGGAACCCAGCTTTGGAAGCTCTGAACAGTCATTTTCCACTGCCTCCCTCCCCCCACATCTCCTGTTCCCAGTGTCTTCTCTGTCAGCGGTATGTTTTCTCTCTGAGCGGCACAGCCATGAGTAAAGCGCTACGATGGAAAACTGCCAAGAGGGGAATCATGGTAACCGTGTCCAAGCGGCCCTATTCAGGGGTGTGACCCTATTCACTCCCTCTCTGCCACCATTTCCTAACTTATAAAAACAGGACACTGAACTACTGAGACCTTGTCTCTAATTCAGGTAGCCTGTTGTGGTAAGTCAGCTTTTTGTCTCAGTGGCAGATGAGAAAAACAAGTTCAGTGAGGAAAAGTTGATGATGGTTCATGGTTTTAATCCATGGTTGACTGGTTTCACTGCTTAAAAGGCAGAGTCTCCTGTGAGGCAGAACAGTATAGCAGGGAGGAGCAATAGACCAAAGTGACTCATCTCATATTGCCCAGGAAGGAAGGGAGGAGAGAGAGAGAGAGGGAAAGAGAGAGAGAGAGAGAGAGAGAGAGAGAGAGAGAGACAGAGAGACATAGAGGGAGAGAGGGAGACAGAGAGACAGAGACAGACAGAGACAGAGAGAGAGAAAAATACAGAGACAGAGACAGAGACAGAGAGACAGATAAAGAGAGAGACAGAGAGACAAAGAGAGAGACAGAGACAGAGAGAAAAATACAGAGATAGAGAGGCAGAGACAGAGACACACATAGAAAGAAAAGACAGAGACAGAACACGATGCCTAGTAACATGCTTCCTCCTCCTACTTTCTACCTGCTAAGAGCCCATCCAGTTATGAACACATTAATGAATTAAACTACTGATAAAGTTAGCACACTCATGAGCCAATCACTCCATAGGCACTCTGGCTGGAACCAAGCTCTAAACATAAAAGCTTCATTGGAGGATACTTCATATCCAAACCAGAACCCTGAACTAAGTACATCCTTATTATATATGTCTCCTCGTAGGGTGAGCATTGCTTGTAAACTCTAATTCTTTGCTAGTATTTAAGAAATATGAACTTTGTTATTCTGACTGTATATAGTATTCTGGATATACAGGCAATATTTTTGAAATAACTCATGATAAGCTCCCCTTTTTTCAAACAAGTTTCTCTCAGTGCTCCTTTTCTATCATTAGGACTAAGGCAGAAGCACACAGATATAGGCAAATGAGAAGACAAGTCCTGTCTAGAATAGTTGTATTTACAGGAACGAGCCATGGACCATGTTGTGGGGAAATTGCCACCCTGGAGAAAGGCAAAGTAGCCACAGAATTAAAGGGGTGAGATTTTTTAAAGTAAAGAGTGGCAAACTTGCCAGGCATTGGTGGCACATGCCTTGAATCCCAGCACTCGGGAGGCAGAGGCAGGCAAATGAATCTCTGTGAGTTCGAGGCCAGCCTAGTCTACAGAGCAAGTTCCGGGACAGCCTCCAAAACAATACAGAGAAACCCTGTCTCGAAAAACGAAACAAAAAAGAAAAAAGAAAGAAAGAAAAGAGTGGCAAATTGCCCACATTTCTCTGCATGCCACAGGGATGTGTTGAGGTGACAAGAGAATTGCACATTAACTTAGAGGGGAAGCTGTAATAAGAAGGTTGTATCTAACTGTGGGAAAACACAGCTTTACTAGGTACTCTGTGGTGGGTTTAAACAAAAAGAAACAAGGACAGTGTCTACTTGTTGTCCCTCCAATCCACGACCTATATGTTCACCTGTATTTTCAATGAAGACACAGACAATAAACAGATGACACAAGCCAAGACCATGGCAAAGAGAAGAATGACTCTGTGGCAAACACATGACTGATCCTGAAGGACTCTCATAGGAAGACGGGGAATTATTCATGTTCCGACTGAGTACAAACCAGAAACCCCCCAGGAGCGGATGTCAATACCTAGAATCATTTTACATTGAGATGTGAGAGACCCAAAGGGTTCTTGCTGACTAACTCTGCACAGCTTGTGAGAACCTGACAAATACAACCTCCACCATCGTTGTGACATCATGTGCTCCCACCTAGACCAGGCACTGCTAAGGGGGAAAACCCAAGAGAGATTCCTTACAAGTAGCCAAACCTTAGACATAGCTGAATAATGCACAAAAAGGACAGCTTGTTAAAGATGGTTGACTTTTAAAACAGATATGATTTACATATGCTAAAACACACTTTCTAAAGATTTATTTCATTATTGATTCATGTGTACGTGTGTGTGTGTGTGTGTGTGTGTGTGTGTGTGTGTGTGTGTTGTATGTATGAGTGCAGTGCTTATCAAGGTCAGAAGAGGACATCTGATCCCCTGGAACTAGAGTTACAGGCAGGAGTGAGCTGTCATGTGGGTGCTGGGAACTGAACTCTGGTCCTCTGGTAGAATAGTCAGTGCCCTTAACTGTTGAGCCATCTCTCCAGGTGCCAAAACACACAATCATTTTAAAGACTACATTTCAATGTGTTTTGCAAATGTATGCATTTGCCTAAGTACATGACTATAATCAAGACAGAACATCTTACCACCAACTAATGGTCCCATCATGCTCCCTGGCATTTTACCACCAACTAATGGCCCCATCATGCTCCCTGGCAGGAACATGTTCCTTCCATCATGCTCCCATGCACTAAATCAAGCATGAGGTTACCACTGAGTTGCTTCTGTCTGTATAAACTAATTTGTCTGCTAAGAATTTCATACAGTGGGGCTGGAGAGATGGCTCAGCGGTTAAGAACACTGACTGTTCTTCCAGAGGTCCTGAGTTCAATTCCCAGCAACCATATAGTGGCTCACAATCATCCATAATGACATCTGGTGCCCTCCTCTGGCATGCAGGTGTATATGCAGGCAGAACACTGTATATATAATAAATAAATCTTTAAAAAGAGAATTTCATACACTCTGGGATTTCTTTAGTTCAAGAGTTTAACCTTGGACAGCATCCATTTTAAGCATATGTTCTGCCACTGTCTGACGACACCTTGAGCTTCGTTCTGTTTGCTTTGACCATAGCTGATTCTATCTCATCTCTTCTTAGTAGTCGGTACCGTGGACACATTGCAGTTTGCTTATTCATTCACCTATGATGGACATTAGTGTTGACTCCGCTTTCAGATCATTAAAAATGAAACTTTGAACAATGGTGTACAAGTGTTTAGTGGACACGTGTTTATTTTCTATAGTAAATTTCAAGGAATGAAACTGCCGAGTCTTACAAAAATGTACACCTATAAGAAAAAACAGCCAAACTACTTGAGATGGTTGTGTGACACTGTCAATGGCATTCTGCCTTCTGGTTACCTCTCAGTCTTAGAAATGCTTGGTGCTGAGATACGCTTATCTTAAGCTATCCCAGTGTGTAGTAATACTCCCATTTTAGTCCTTATTAATGCTCTTAGCTGCTTTTCACAAAACATTAACTATTCATAAATCTTCCATATGGAGCACCTATTAAACCACTAAGCTCTCAACTTTAC